CACATTCACTGCTACCGCCTGAGAGGGTGAGGAGATCTTTTTTATCATGCTTGGCATATGAGTAGTTGGGAAAGTGTAGCTTTCCAGATGATCATGAATTCCGGCATTTGCCTCGGCAGTTTACCTGATGGTGTGGAATGATGGGAGCTGCAGTCCAGCAACTTGTTCCCCTCGTTACTCTAGGAAATGGTGCTGCCAAAGGAAGTAATTGCCAGTGTGAATTCAGAATGAAATGAAAAGATAATGTGTTTGCAAAAATCAAAACCCTGTATTGATTTGTTTGAAGCTTCAATAATTTACGCAAATACATTTTGTTTTTCTCCTCCGTAAAGAGGGAAGCAAGCGATCCCTTTCACAAAATCATGGGAAAATCAACGGAAGGAAGAGTTGCGAGGCAGGACTCTTTGTAAAGTAACGAACTGGCTATCCTAAACCCATTTACCACGGCTCTCAGTGATCTACTGAGCTCAGCGTAATAGACTTCTGAACAAATAAGCGCAGGGCCGCAACTCGCTCAAGCTCTGCCGAAATGGTTAACAATCGTGTGAAAGGTGCTAAAGCGGCGATCTTTTGTGGGGAGCTTTGTGTTTCCTGTGGGAAATGCTGAAGGCCAACGTGATGGTTCTCTCATTTCCTGTGGGTGGACGGCTGAGAGAACCGCCAGCTGCCTCCTTTGAGACATGAGGAGACTCTCGGCGTCCCGTGGCTGAAAGGCTGATAGGATGAGGAGGGCGGGGGTGGGCCCTCTGTTTCCTGGACGGGTCTCGGGTGAGGTTTCCTGTATGGGTCACCAAAGGGGGCGGCTATACACGGCGGCGGCTTTTGTGTGCTTCCTTCTGAGTTAAGGAGAGGCTAGTGGACGTGGCTCTTTTCCTGCTTCCTGTGTGGGATGTGGGGGCATTGAGAGGCTTGCACTGCTTGGAGCGCATCTCTTTCTCTGTGTGTGCTTATGCCTATATACATAAGCCTCTCTCTATTTAATTACTGGGGTGCTTGTGCTGAGGAGGGAGTGTCAGACAACAGATACACACAAGGGTCCCTTTCGCAAATTGAAATGGAGGCAGAACGACGGCTGCTCTGCGTGAACTGCTAAAGGAAGGAACTGATGTGAAAAACAAGGCTACTTTGCCCTCCCTCCCCCTTCTGCATTCGGTGCCGAGAGTCTCTCGTGTAAGGGCTGCCCTGCAGTTCGGCTCATTGTCCTCTTTAAACACCCGTCGCTTCCACCCCCCCTTTGGAGTACTTTTGAGCCGCGGTTGCCCTTCCTCTTTAGAAATCAGCATGAGTTCCTCTTCGCGAATTTACGGGATTAGCCCGGAGCCACCTGGTGCTGGAGCGCTTCCCTCCCCCTTCGCTGTTCCCCGCCTTCTTCTCGAAGTCCACGCCCCCTCCCTCGGGAGCAGGGAACCTGCCCGCACCGCGCCAACCCTGCACAGAGAGTTAGTATGTAAGGGTAAAGGGGGGGGGAAGGGTGTGTCTCCTCCTATTGGCTCAGGGTCCCAACCAATGGACGCGGCGGGGGAAAATGCCGTCAGGGGAAAGGAAAACCCTGAGACTGACGTAAGAAACGGAGTGGAACTAGGGGCGGGGGAAATGGAATCCCGGGAGGAGAGGAGGGGGAGGGGTCGGCCATAGGTGTGCGCCAGAAGAGCGGAAGCGCGGTGGGGCGGGTCGGGGTGCCCGTCGGCCTCTGGCGAACCGACCCCTGGGAGGGGCTTGTAGAATTTAGGAGTAAGCAAATGCCAGAAAAAGAACGACAAGCGCGCGGGTCAGGGGACGGCGGGCACGGCTACTTTTTATGGGAAGCACACAGCACGTGGGAAGCTAGCCGTGGGCTGGTGAGGAGCACCTTGGACAGCGGAAGTTAGGAGGTGGCGGTTTGTGGGCGGGGCAAAGAACGAGGACGACGGAAGACCCCCTGCGTGGGCACTCGGGCGGAGGAAGAGGCTGGAGGCATCGTCGCTGGACGACCGACCACAACGAAGGCAGAGAAGGGACGGCGGCCTTCTTCCACAGCTAGGACTAATGGAGCCAGGCGGGAGGGCGCTTTTTTCCAGGCGTAATGGAGAAAAGTGTCACTTATTTTTCCATTTCTGCCTATTTTCTGCGGGTTAAAAACCGCGCTTTCTTAAAACATAACATTTTATGATCTGTCATCAAAATAACTTGCTTAATGTTTCTCGAAACCTCCCAAAGAGAACCAGTTTTTCAAGCAAGAAATTTTAACCAGTTCAAAATAATTCGCTATGTTCCTCCTGTGCGGTTGACCTCACATATGTTGTAACGAAAGGTCTGCTATATCCTCTTTTTAAGTTGTTTTTGGCTCAGCTTTTTATTTGTGCTGAAAGTGTGCAAGCAAGCTTCACAAATTTTCCATACAGGATTATCTCAGGCAGCTGTAAAGTTATTTTGCAAAGAAGATTTTGCAATATTTTTGAATGATTCACTTAGGATATTTCAACTTGTTCAAACTTCTAATTTCAGGAAGTCTGTCTGTCACAGTTCTACTTCTAGCTGTGTCCTTACTTATGTTTACATTGCCTGAGACATGCTGTTATAACTAGCTAGCTGGATATGCCTGAATAATGATGTTGCCAAACATTTAGCACAAAGTTCTTGTTTGGAAGAAATAGTAACTTGGAGTGTTCAAAAAACCCAGACACCCCAAAGGCAATGCTGATTCATATGTGCTGTTTCCCAAATGTGAGGAAATTAGTTGCTGTGATCATTGGCCAGCACAGAATCCTGGTCTATGTGCTGTGCCATGAGATAAAATTTGGAAAGGTTTTTCTAATCATAAATATTTTAGTTTTGCAGCAGTAAAGCAAAATCAGAATTGCACAGTGTTCACAACTTTTTTGTAGTGCATACTAAAAGGTAAACAACACATTTTAATTCAATTAAATATATTTGTCTTGTTTTCATACTTCCATGATATGGAGGCAGATATGTGTGTATATATCAAGTTCTTTTTTATACCAAAAATCACAGACCATTTGTAAGATTACTGTTTTAGGCACCTCTGAGTGTAGTGTATTCATGGGGCGGGACAATGCACGTGGGGGTGGTTTGCTGTGGCACTTGTTTTTACTCATCTCTATTTGAAAAAGATATAGGTCTGAACGTAACTGTTACCTCTACCCAATAAAGTATAAATATACTTGTATACCTCCCACAGACTACCTGAAGTTTTTGCTATCCAGAGAGAACCAATTAATAACACAGTCGGTGGCTAAGTTTTTATTCAGAGTTCTAAGAATTTGCAAAATGTTATATTAAGACAACTACATGACTCATATTTTATACTGCTGATATGTTTTTAACAACCTACTTATTCTGTATATCTTATATAATGTGCTTATTTTTGTATTTTTGGGTCTATGACTGTATAGTAATAATAAATAAATAAAATATCTGAAAAAGCCCAAAAAGCGTTGCAGTAAGTCAAAATGGACTTGACCTTGATGGCACATGATTTATTACTCCTAATGAGACTGTGACTAAAATTTGAAATGTTTTTCTGGAAGTGCATTTTGATAGTTTACATTTAGTAATATGGGTCCCCAGGAAATGCCCTCTACTAGACAGACCACTGTTCCTTTTGTGACCCTTGCCCCTCCTTTTCATGCTTACGCACATAACAATGTCTTTCTTTCTCACTTTCCACATTTTTCTTCCTTCTTGCAAGCCATCAAGAAAACAGAATAATTGACCTTTTTACTGAATTCCTCTTCAGGCAGTTCTCCAACAGAGTCCATATTCTATTCACATAGATAAGGAGTACTGAAAAAACTATGTTCTTAGTTTCCTAGCAGAATATTGATTCTTTAAAAAATCGTATTCTATTGAAAATGAGGGGGCAAAATTAAAATAATGGGTATATCTTTTAATTATAACAGATATTTAATGGTACTATGCTTTATAAAAAAGTTATCAAATCTAGTTCTTCAGAGGTCTCTATTTCTAAGTTCTTCTGAAGAAGACTCAGGAGATCCAAGCTGAAATTCTTGCTCAGCAGTGGTCACTCATGGGGAAAGGGCACTAGTAAAACCTTAAGCATCTCACTTACCTTCAAAAACCTACTAGGACCACTGTAAATCAGATGTGACTTGGTGGCACATAACACATGTGTACACTGACCATGAAGGTATGTGAATATGCAGGTATATGGGATATTAGATGATCCTTGAGGTGCCATCGAACTAAAAATTCTGTATAGTTAAAGTTTTGAACAGAATTGAAAGTGTTGGGAGCACAATTGCCACAAGTCAAAAAGAGCATGGCATTAACATTATGGCTGAATCTTAGTCATGTCTCCACCAAGAAAATCAAAGCCAGAATCTGCTTTTTAAAATGTAATTTGCATTTTAGCTCTCACCACTGAAGATGGCATACTAAGATTTATTTATTTATTTATTTATT